TATCAGGTTCACACCATATTACATAGGGCCATGTAGTCCTGGAAAGGATTTCAAAGTACCTGAAGGACAGAAGAAGGCCACTGTCACACCTTGTCTAGCAGGTGCAGAAGCTCAGTCACACAGGCCTACCGCCGCCAAAGCCCTGACTTCCATGCAATCAAGAAGAGCACTTAGCAGCTGCTGAATGCTTGCTCTGTGCAGGCTTGGTGCTAATTGCTTTCCATGCATGATCTCAACTCATTCTCACTAGGGGCCTCTGAGGAAGGCACTGCCACTGACATCTCACAAATCAGGACACTGAGCCTTGAGGAGGTTCAGTCCCTTTCCCAAACTCTCAGAGCCAGCAGGACAAAGGGTCTCAGGGCAGAACAGCACCAGGGGCTCTTTCTACAAAGCTCTGTCTGACAGTGGGGTATGTGAGTGCGCTCCCTTCTGAAACATTCTATCTCTCTTGTTAACTTGCCCATTGAAATTTTACCCACAGTAAAGGAAGATTTCTCCACGTGAGGCCATGCTGAACTTCAAACGCAGATGCAGGCAATCGTCCTGAGAGACTGGGCCTTCTGCAATTTGCCAATTTGCTTTAATAGCTCCTCAGCAAAACCCAAGATTTATAGGAATCACATTTAATAGGGAAAGTGTCCCTGAATCAGGGACGAGGCAGGGCTGGGAGGATTGCTAGATGGAAAGTGGGAAGCAAGGCTGGCAGGGATCCTAATCTGGGAGAGGCAATAAATCAATTTCACCTCCATAAAAAAAGTAAAAATCTGGGCGAGGCAGATGTCAAATGCAGCGAGGTCAAAGGTCAGCAAAGGTGGGAGAGGCAGGTGTGGCTGCGCTGGCAGGGATGCGTTTAAAGGAAGTCATTTCAGAGGAGCATCAGGAACCTAGCTGGGGAGCCTAGGTGGGGAGCAAGAGAGATGTATTCATTTATTCATTTAACTTTTCATTGACCCAGCAGAGAGGCTGAGCAATAAGGGGCCAGTTATTCCAGCTACTGTAACTCACACGTGGATATGAACAAATGCTCAGCCAAAGTGGGTGGTCAATAAATGTTAACCACACTTCCAGGGTTGCAACTCGCTGATCGCTCGCTGTCCTATATCCCAACCATGTTAACTGATTTCCGCACGGTTGCAAGCGATAGAAACGCACATGAACCATTTTAGACAAAAGGAGAGTGAATTGGACGAGCTGGGGTGTGGCCAGGCCTCAGGGACAACTGGCACCAGGCCAGACTTTTCTGGCCATCTCTCAACTCATCTCCCATCTGTTCTTCTGAACGTCCGTTTCATTGTCTCCTAATGGTCTCCTCCATAATGAGCGGAAACCAGCCCATCAGCAGAGCCCAGGTCCGCATCTTCGTCTCAGAGATGAGCTGAAGTTCCTGCACAGAGAAGAACTCTGATTGGCCCAGTGTGGGTCAGGTGCTCAACTCTGATTGGCCCAGTGTGGGTCAGGTGCTCATCCTTAGACCAATAACAAGGTCGTGTGAGAAAAGGTGGCCGGTCCCATTTGAACTACATGCTGAGGAGTGAGGGGAGGCTCAGTCCCCAGAAAAAAGGAGGAAAAAGTGCTCAATTATCAAAACAATAAATGCTCAGTATAGTCTGCTCTTTGGTACCCTCAATACACACCCGCCCTTCTTCCCAAAAGTAGAATTCCAAACCTGTCCCCACCTAACACCACACGGCCTGTTAGTCAACACACTCCCTCACCGCAGCAGTGACTTGCAGCGAAGGCGCCCAGCCCCGGGGGAGGCTGTCTAGTGACATCCATTCCTCTCCATCCGTGGGACATGAACGTCTGTGATCCTGAGAACCACGGTAACGGTCAATGGGTTAAATGATTCATTTAACCCCTCCTCCTCACATGTCGATGAAGTGTGAAGGGGCAGAAAAATACGTGAGAAAAATGTATGAGGAGAGAATGACCAAACAATTTCCAAATTTGGTAAATACAGGAGGAACAAAATACTGCATAATCACAGTGAAAGCTCAGATGTAGAAAAAGAGAGTGGGATAGGTAAGGAACGGACTGAGTCGGTGAAACAAATACAAATGCAGTGACTCGAACGAGATGGCTGCTTGCTTCTCTCATCTAACGGACCAGGGGAGGGCTGGAGTCCGGGCTTACGGACTGTTCTGCTCTGCAAGGTTGTTCAGGAGATCAGATTCCTTCTGTCTTGATGTCTTGTCATCCCTAGAGTCCTCATCCACATGTTCAAAACTGGCACACATCCATGTTCCAGCCCCTGGGAAAGGGAATGATGAAGTGAGGGGCAAGCAATGTTCCCATAAAAATGTCATCTAGAAGTTGCACCCCTCACTTCCATTCACATCCCGTTGGCTAAAACTACAGGACTACACGCTTCCAGGGAGGCTGGGAAATGTAGTCTCCAGCCGGGTAGCCATGTGCCCAGCTAAACTCCAGTGGATCCTATTGGGAGAGTGAACACTGGGAACAGTCTTTGCCACAGGCCCTCCTGTGGCCTGTAAATATCCGTGCACGTTCTTCTTCCCACACG